CTCTTTACTGGTGTAGTGGTGAACATTTTGCTTTATCCATGCATTTGATACTTGCCTACATTGCTGATTTGGTTTATGATATAAGTCGATGTCTGGCTTTGAAGCCTTCATATTCCTTATAGTTTGATTAGTCATTAATAGTTCAATTAGTTTTTCATGGTTGTTGGCCACTTCCACTTATGTCGGATTTCAAAACCTATCTACTTTTATGTGTACTTGAAGAGGTACATGATCTGCTATTGCTTCCATGACCATAAAGCCATCACATTCCAATTGTTTGAAGAAGTGTTTCTTTTGACTCGAGTGAAATGATGGAGCTTATCATTTGAATAAATTTTAGCCATTTTTTAGCTATACGTCTATTTATTTTTTAATGTGTTTTTAAATGTTTCTTATATTAGTTGAATGTGCAATGGAGACATATTAGAACTTGCATTTGTAGTATGAATTAAAGTCCTTATACATAAGGGTGCTTTAGGGTTTTATTGAGATAAATTGAATTGTTAATTTCCTCTCATCTACTTCCTTTCTCCTAAATCATTAGCTAATTATCCCTTCTTGTCTCATGATCTTTATTCAATATGTTTATTTTGATGATGATAAACAAGTGATTAGATATTCTAATATGTTTATTCAATATTTTAGGAATAATTGGAATAAGGTTGTTTAGCTCATTATTGCAGGATAAATTGCATGGTGTGCATGCAAGCCCAAATGTTTAAGTATCCATGGTCATCTTTGATAGTTGAAGACCGATGCAATGGAGCTCAGGTTGTACATTGCATATTTTGACCAATAGCTAACAAAAAATACATGTTACAATTCGATTTTATCACCCTAAAATTTTCCCAAAAAACATGTTTATCCACTAAATTATATTTGAAAATTGTGTTCAAAACTACTACAAAATTTGAATTATAATTTGGATGTATTTTCAAATCATTAAAAATATTTAAATTTTGGATTTGACTTTTCATTGAGCTTTTAAACTTTAAATAATATCTTTTTTAATACTTGGTTGAAGAATACTCTACATCTTTTTCACCCAACTAAATTGGTATAGAGCCTACCCAACTCCAACGGATATATAGAGCCCGCACAAGTTTATAGGACATATGAAAACCACTCAACCCCAAAGGACAATGACACCACTTGAGCTCACCATTGCCATCTTATTGAAAGAACAATGCCTTAAGGGAGTTTATTGAAATTTTAATATTTGATAGATAGAGATCACCACTTCTTCTTTGCAATGAATAGAGAGCATGCAGCTTGGGTCTATAATTGAAACTTTACAAACAAGCTTGGTGCTAGAACCTTGCATGATATATATTCATGCAGAGGGAGTTTTGGTGAAATCTTTGCAACCAAGTTCAATTTTAGCCCCTTACAAATTAAATAAATAGCAGATGTAGGGGATAATTTCCAAATGCTCAAAGTCTAAATTCATCCCTAACATTTCACATGAAGTAGAAAAATAGCTCAATAAAATGATGAGAATTTCCTTATTAATAGGTTTTATATAGGGAATGCAATTCATAATTATCTCTTATGAGTCAATAAAAACTCAACAACCTATGAAAAAATTTCTCCTCTTGAAGGTGATTCTTATCAAAGAAATTGCTTGTAAGAGGCACACTTATAGTCTTGCCTAATAGAAATGTTTATATTATCCCATATGGCTGCACAAAGCCCATTTAAAAATGCATGAGCTTCTTATGCTTGAGTGATGGGTCATCCAAAATGCTCTCTTGGGTCTTGTGCAGTTGAACTAGGCCCAAAAAAATGGTTGCTTAAGTTATTTATGACGATTTGAGCTTGTAATTTTTTGTTCAATCTCATGCATAATACATCTTTAATCCGCAAATGTACTTTGGTTCATATGAAGAGCAACCAAAGGTTTTAAGATGGTTATTAAGTTTGTCCATGGGTTGATAAAAATTAATTATATTGCTTTATTATTAATTTATTTTGGGTTTCAAAATCATCAAATTTAGCAAAGATTTTGTTTTAGTAGCTTAAAATTCCCCCAAGCATAGAAAAGAACAATGTGTGTTTGTTATATGTTGATGCCTTGGAAGTATTTTTTAGTTAAAGAAGTTCATCCTACCTTGAAATGAAGATGTAATTTGTGGTTCAATGATATTTTTGAAAGAAAACATATTTTTTGAAAACATATTATTCTCACTAGTCAATCAAGGATGTCAAGGTTCGTGTTCTAGTGTTATTCATATAATAAGGGTTTAACTGGATGATGGTCCTTTTAGCTCATTCACAATTTGATGACATCAAGGGTTGTGCCAACCTCTAATTATCTTTGATGCAGTTTGTACAATTAACATTAATTTGATCATCCTATTTAAATCAATGATATTAATCCAATAATCTAGTTTAGATATCCAAAAACCTATTAATTTCAAAATGTTCATCAATCCATACATCATTATTAGGGGCATGTTGGTCTAACATGCATTTTAATATTAATAGTCTTAGTTATTAATCCTTCTATCAATCGAACGACCAGAATACACAATAGGAGGTGACGTGAGTCTTCTATATCCACTATATACCCTACCAAGATAGCAAATGCACTTTTTCATAATGATTATGTATACCCCCTTAACTGGGCAAGGTCAAGGGCATTCCCAAGCTACTTTTAGTCTCTCTATCTTTCCTCTAAACTTCCATTCTTTAATCTCCATTGAATTGCTTTATTTCATTGTGTAGGACTTACTGTCATGTTATAGATGACCCATCAACCTAAACTTTGTTGGAATTGAAAATCATTTTCAACCTGCAATATATATATATATA